ACAGACAGACAGAGACAGAGAACACAAATGAATGCATCTCATCCCTGCTTTACTCCAGATGGACTTCTGGTGTTGGTAAATCCACATCTACTCCATCTCACTCTCCAGGGGCCTCTCAGAATTTTAGATACAAACATGGAAACCAGCTTAGTTGACAGAAGCAGAAAAGCAGTTTTCCAATGTGATCATGGAACTCCAAGGCCTCCACAAATTGGAGAAACAGCTGTGGGGGATCCAAGCAGGAACCATGTCCACTTCTGAGCCAGGCTGGTGGGGACCTCTTGTCACCACTGCTGAGCACTTGGCCACTGGACGCTTCTCCCAGGTTTCTTCTTTTTCCCTCAAAGCTGGGGTACAGCCTGGGGGGAGGCTTATATTCTAGCAACTTGGAGGCTGGGGAAACAAAGCACTTGCAAGGCTGGGAAGCCCCCAAACACGTGAAGGGATGCAGGTGGCAGGGAGGAAGAACCTCAGTATCTGCTGCAGGGGTGGGATTAAGGACAGGGTGGCTCCTTGTCTCTTCTAACCCAGTCACCTTCCTAGGGACTAGAACTTACCACAGTTCAGTCAGCTCCACACCCAGGATGAAGAGCTTCACTAGGGAAGAGGATGCATTTTTCTTTTGTTCTGACTATCCCAAGTCAGAGCGAGAACTTCAGAGACACTAAAGACTGGAAGCAGGGGAGCTGTTTCCTCACAATGATATAAAATACCTGAAACACGGGGCTGTAAATTGAAGGGAAGGATGGTCAATAACTTCTGTTCCCTCAGATCCCATAATCCTTCTTTCTAAGGTCTCCAAGGAACAGGTGGATGAGGAGCCTCTCATGGGGGCAGGAATGTGGTGGGGGGCAGTGACTCTATGTGGAAATCTGAAATAGGTTCTTAGTCACCCAAAGCCAGAAGGTTGGGGAGAGCTTGTGGGATGTCACCCAGGAGCTCCATGTGGGCCTGGATGTGATGATAATCCTGGCAGCCCTGTCACCAAGCACTGGGCACACTGCACAGGGACTTTCCTCCTGGTGAACTCACTGGACATCCTGTGAGCAGTCACTTTCAGCTCTGTAGATCAGGATGACTTGGTGATCTGAGCAGATCTCCTGTCCTCCTGTGCCCTGGAACATGGGCACTTGGCCCATCTGTCCTGGGAGCCTGAACTGTCTCCAAGGGAGGGAGGGAAGGAGGGAGAGATGGCTGCTGAGCCAAACACAGGAGGTTCTTAGCCCACACAAAAATTGTTAACAGCAGGTGGATCACAAGCTTGAGTCAGCCTGGGCTACTCAGCAAGAGCCTGTCTCAAAAGAAAAAAAAAAAAAAAAAAGAATGGTTGGGCATGTAGGTCAGTGTGAAGGCCACAGGTTCAATCCCTATCCCTCTCCCATAAAAACTGAACTATCTTATTTACTTGCTTTGAGGCAGCAAGGACTAAAGCAAGGGCCTCACACATACGAGGCAAATGCTGTACTACTGAGATCCATGCCTGGCCCCATGTCAAGTGATTTCAGGAAGTGTTATTCCTACAGGGAGAGGAACCAGTGTGCTTTACTGGGACATCTGGCACAGAGGGAGGAACACTGTCGCTGGCATGTTTGTAGAGGCAGACATCCCAGGAGAGGATGCTGCCGCTGAACACCTGCCATTTATTGAGTGCCTATTATGAGCTAGCAGGCAGTTAGCCATTTTTTATATCTGTTACTGATATTAACCCTTAAAGCTTTTCATTCCCAGAGGCAGATGAAGAAATGGAGAGGCCACAGGTCAGTAAGCGTCTGAGGTGCACAAAGCCCAGACACCTTCTATTCTTTTAAGTTTTATAGACCAAAAGCTCCTGTCTGACCTTGGGAACAAAGGCTCAACAAGTGCCCATTCAGCATCAGGCAGGGACAGAGAAACACCTGCCGAAGGCAGGGACATCCAAAGTGGTGAACTAGATCTGGGCCTGTGGTGCATGCCTGTAATCTCAGCAGTTGAAGGCTAACGCAGAAAGATCACCACAAGTTTGAGGCCAGTCAGGGATGTACAGTGAGCTCAAGACCAGCCTGAACTACATAGTGAGAACCTGTCTCAAAAAAACTCAAAAGAGCAGGAATGGTACACTGGAGCCTCATTTGCTATCTAAAATTAAACAAACGTGGTACTGTTAATGCTGTCCTGGATTGCATCGTAAATGTCCCTCAAAGGTACAAATGCTAGAGGCCTGGAAGACAGCTCTCGGTGCTGCTGGGAGGTGAGGGAAACTTTAAGCGGAGTCTATTGTGAAAGGAGGCAAGGCCCGGGGGTGTGGCCCTGCAAGGCCATCCAGACTCCAGCCCCAGCCTTCTTCTTCTGGTGACCACTGAGCCTCTCAGGGTCCCCAACAGTGTGTCACCAAAACTGCAAAGCAACAGGGCTAAGACACCACAGATGGAAACCTCTGAAACCATGGTCTGAAGTAAATCTTTTTCTTTTTGTCAAGTATTTCATCACAACAGAAAGCTAACACACACATACACAGATGAGACAGAGATTCAAGCTCGCACAGAGCTCAAGCTATACAGGGAACATACGTAGGTAGAAACGCAGTCCCTCGCTTCTCCGAGCACCCAACGTCCCCATCTGTCCAGTGTAGTGCTGACCATTCTTGACTTGAGGACAGTGTTCTGGGTTCTGGTTGGTCTGTTGACACTGTGGAAGGATGTTAAAGTATTTCCAATTTTTATTCCTCACAAATATTTCTGTTTCTTACAGTTAAAACCCAGTCTTTACTGAAGAGCATACAAAATTACGCTTTCAGTTGCCAATTTTTAAAAAATTAGTTTTTTTTTTTTTTTTTTTTTTTTTTTTTTTTTTTAAATCATTAAAGTCTTTGTAAAACAGTAAGTTCCAAATATGGAGCTTGGTTTTGGCTGCTTCAGATAGGGTCTCCCTATGTAGCCCAGGCTGGCTGTGAACTCATGGAGATCCTTCCGAGTGCTAGGGTTCTAAGTATGCACCACCACCATGCCTGGCTACAACCTACTTCTTCAGTTTTTGGACACGTTCACTGTCTGACAGCTGTAGATTTCGTGTTTGCTCAGGTGGTCATGCTGAACACGTTCTGGGGCAGATATGGGGGGAGTGGAGTCGCTGTGTTCCATTAAGTGGGTTTCTTCCTTGAAAAGTGGCTCTGGGGGTCCTGGTCCAGACGGGGCCTCAAAGCTGCAACTGTCGCCAGCATTCTGCTTGTTGTCTTCCAAGTGTTCTGTAATAACACTTAGTTTGTCAAACACTTCACTCTCATCAGAGAGTGGGGTGGAGAAAAACAGAAGTGTGTTGTGTGGGTGGCCCAAAAACTAGAAGAAAACAAGAAAAGCACACCGTTAATTATCAAATTACTTCTTTTCCTGGGCTTGCAAGACTCTTATGAACTCCTGGCTTGGAAAATGCTGTTTAAAGAATGTAACATAAACCAGGGGTGGGGGGCACTCCTATAATCCCAGCAGGCAGGAAGCTGAGGCAGGAGGATTGCTGCAAGTTCAAAGCCAGTCTGGGCTACATAGCAAGGCCCTGTCTAAAAAACAGATAGCATTAATGCCATAGTGGTTTCTTACAAAATTTAAAAATAGAACTATCTTATGATCTAGCAATTATATGCCTTAGTATGTTTTCCAGAGAAATGAAAGTTCTCATCAAATGTCCTGAGGCAGGACTGTCTCATAGGAATGTATCATGAGCCAGGAAGCAGGAGAGAGGATATGAGAGCTAGTTGTTAATGTGTATGGAGTTTCTAGTTTTATTTATTTATTTAGGTGGAACCGGGGATTAAACTTAGGCCCTTGCGCTTCCCAAGGAAGTGCTTATTCTACTGAGCCATCTCCCCAGGCCCAGTTTCCAGTTTGGAAGACTGAAAAGTTCTGGAGATGGTGCACCACAATGTGAATTTACTGCCACCAAATTGCATTCTTTTTCTTTTTCTTTCTTTCTTTTTAGTTTACACTGGCCTTT